GCATTATTTTTACTAAACCTGTATTTCAATATGACAGATTTTACACCGCTGGTATTTTAATAATGATAATATTGTTTTGTCTGTAGGGTTACAGTGCTGAAGCCTGGGAGACGATCAGGAACATAACAAAAGAACATCTGAGGCGATGCGGATTCCTGGTTAACTCTCTGGGAAATGCCCACTAAAACTCGTCGTTCGGATAAATTTTTAAAATGTATTTGTATTTCTTAATTGGTTTAATTTATTTATTGTATTCATAATATTGACACTAGTATTTATTTTTGTATTATTTATTCATTTATTTATTAGATTTCTGAAAATTTTCCATAATGTAAACTAGACATATTATTTGATATGTTAAAGTCAATAAATATTTTCTTATCACACAAATAGAAATATGTTGATTTTTCTGTTCCTGAAATATCAAGAATAAGGGTTTTGCACTTATTTTTAATGAGTGCAATCAAACATTAGACACATTGTCCAGATTTATATAGAAAGATTGTTTTGATTCTTCACAAAAGCTCTTACAACATAGAAAGTAGAAGTACTGATACCTCATGTGGAGTGAGTACGAGCACCAAGACCACTTTAGAGACTTTCTTTGGTTTGGTTTCTTTTGATTTATAAAGTATGACGAGTAAACTGAGAGCTTTGCCTTTACACTCAGCTCTCTCTTCACCCTGATGGACCAGTACAGCAGCCGCAGCACTGATCTGTCTGTCAATGTCCTTCCCCCTTCTCCCATCACTCGAGAACAGGACCCCAAGATACTTAAACTCCTCCACTCGGGGCAGGAACTCATCCCTGATCACGAGTGGACAGTCCACCCTTTTCTGGCTGAGCACCATGGCCTTAGATTTGGAGGTGCTATTCTCATTCACTTCATTACATTTGGCTGTGCAGCATTCCAGTGCGAGCTGGAGGGCATCAGCCGATGAAGGCAATAGAACAACATCATATACGAAATGCAGAGCTGAGATTCAGAGAACATCTGAGCCTTCTGCCACTTGGCTACACCTAGAAATTCTCTAAATACAAATTATGAACAGAACAGGGCGGCCTTGGTGGAATCCATCCATCAATCCATCACCCACCGGAAACCAGTCTGACTTATTGCTCATTGCTGGCTATGCGGACCAAGCTCCTGAAATGGTTGTATGAGAATTGAGTGGTCCATAGCAATGGGCCAAACAGCCCATACTCCTGAAGTACCTTCCACAAGACACTCTGAGGGACATGGTCGAGTGCCTTCTCTGGGTCCACAAAGCCCATTTAGACTGGTTGGACAAACTCCCATGCACCCTCAAGTATCCTCAAGAGGATAAAGAGCTGGTCCAGTGTTCCACGATCAGGATGTAAACTGCATTGTCCAAGGTTCGACTAACTGCCACCTCAGATCTGGTAAATGGACTGATTCTTACATAGCACTTTTCTACTCTCCCGGAGTACTCAAAGCGCTCTATACAACATGCCTCATTCACCCATTCACACCCACTCATACAAGCACTTCAAGTGCAACCTAAACTACATTCACACACATTCATACTCCGATGAATGCAACTCAGGGTTAGTATCTTGCCCAAGGCATGCAGACTGGGGAAGCCAAGGATCGAACCACCAACCTTCCGATCAGTAGCTGATCTGTTCTACCACCTGAGCCTCAGCCACCCCACACAAAGTAAAAGTTAGACTGATGCAGTACATGAGCACAATGCCTATACAAATATACCTATATCATGCATAAAAGAACTGAAAAATGGTACATACTTCTTCAATTCTAAGTTTTTCCATATTCGAGCATTAAAAATAAATAAAAGAATAAATAAATAATTTGGTCATTTTCAGGTTGTAAAATAATTTAAGTGGAAGCTTAGACGACAGTATTTATAATTATTTAACAAAAAGTAAACTTCACAGCATCACATCTGAAATTAAGTATTTTAGCACAGAAACAAGAGGACTTGTTTTGCAGCCATAAGACGTGAACAACTTGTAGTCCCTGAGGAGACCATGAACTCCTCTCTATATCAAAATATTCCAAATGTG